CGGGCCGTGGCAGCCCCGCCGACGGCGGCTTCCGCCCCTCGCGGGTGGTGGTGGTGGCGAAAACCACCCGCTACGAGTTCGAGCAGCAGCGGTACCGCTACGCCGAGCTCTCGGAGGAGGACCTGAAGCAGCTGGTGGGTCCTGGCAGGGGGACGGCCGGGACGGGGGAGGGGTGGCGGGGTAGGGGGGTGCAGCTGAGCCCCGCGGGGCACAGGGCACCCGCAAAAGCCCGACGGCCTCCCTCCGATTGCCTGTGTCCTCCCCCCACCCCCACCCCCAACTCGGAGCGTGGGAGATTGGCGTCCCGAGCCTTCCTTTGGAGGGGCCCCTGGAACCGGGACTTGGGAAGCCACGTGTGCCCTCGCCCCGGCCTCGGGAGCACTGACGCCGATCGCTGACAAGGTGAACCGGTGGCTTGAGGGTTGTTCGACTTGGGGACCTCTCCCCAGGCCGCCCCGAGGAAAAAAAATTCCGGTGCGCGGCTGCTGGCGGCGGAGAGAAGGCCGTGGTGCCACGGACACACCCCCTTGACGCCCGGGGACCTAGGCCTGGCCAGGGAAAGCCCTGCTGGAATGTAGTCGCTGGTCCAGGGTCTCGGGCCACTTGAAAAGCTCCCGGGACAGCGTGGCAGGAAAGTTGACCTGAGATGTGTTTTTGTGTAGGAAGGTCAGATAAGGGACAAGTAAGCAGGATAATGGGTGAAAGGAAGAGCCTGTCCCCCTGAAGTAACAGTGCCTCTGCGATACACTGTATTTGGTATATTTACTAATAGCCTTCCAGGTGTACAAAACCGGGCGTGTATGTGTGTGGGAGGGATTGAACCCAGAGTTTGAGCTTCCCCATTTTCGAAAAATTTGATTTTTGTGCTACACAGTAACTTTAGGGAAATGGGCTGTTTGTTGGCAATTTATCTAGATTCTAGGTAAATTTTTTAGATTCTAGAAAGCTCCCCATTGAACGTCTGTAATTGTTGACTCCAGGCACCCGAAGGCTTTAGAATTAATTGTATATAACCATTATTCAGTTATGTTCAAGAGTAGGTAGGCTGCCTATTCTTAAAACCTGGTGATGCTTTGTAATACCATTTGGGGGGGGGGCGGGGGAGATATAGGAGAAACACATTGTAAATCTTCGCTTAGCTATAGCATCCTGTCAGTCTTGTTTGATTGGCAAATTGAAGGGCCGCTTGGTAGAAGGCAGTGTGCAAATTTATTGTCTCTTCCTCCCAAGTGTTTATAGAAAACATTTGCGTTATTAGAGAATATCAGCACTTTGCCTGGGGTAGTTTGTGTCATCGACTGAAATGAATGCAACGAGGGGGGATTGTTGGCCAGATGGAAGCACACGGTTTCTATTTTGGAAAAAGAGGTGTGTCCTTTTGGTTATACGCCCGACTTTGCAAGGTTCACCTTTTAGAAATTGTGAAACACCATGTATGCTTAGCCTCACACAGTTTTATCTGAGACTCTCTAGACTTAAAATGGTACGCTCGAGAAATAGACAAACAGAAGTGAACTAGTACGTTTCCAGTCCGCAGTACAGAGGGTGGGGTTGTTGCCAGGAGCTTGAGGTGCTGCTTGGTTCTGTGTGACCGAGTCCCTTTGCATTGTTCAACTTCTCTTGACCTCCTGAGTGAAATAAAACGTTTGTACTGTAATGTTAGCTTTCAAAAGTTCATTCACCTAGTTCCCGATGGGTTGGCCTAAATAGCTCCCAAGGTCCTTTCTGGAGCTGGCATTTTGAAATTATTTCAAGGACTCTTGGAAAACGGGTGGTATTGAATTGAGATTAACTTTTTTTCTTTAAATCTCTGAACTAGATCACTACTAATGAATCCTCTTAAAATGTAGGGGTAATTGGTGTCTTTAAAATCTCAAACTCCCTCTTTGAGTGGAGAAATACCTTAATACGTAGTATTTGACTGTCACTGGGTGATGCTCTTAGAATAAGACAGCTTTGAGGTATGACTGCTGGGCTGTGCAGTTTTGTGATCGACAAGAGACGGAGGCAGAATAGGGTTTTGTTGCTGCCATGTTACTGGATTTCTCCCTTACCGATAGGAGTTGGTTTTGCATTGATGTTAAGGCAGCTTTTGCAGTGAGATTGCATTAGGTGTAGCCTGGATAAGAAGAGCTGAGGAATACCAGTCTGTGTGAAGTTCTGCCATGGTATTCTGTAGAAAGTAGGAAAAGAAAGAATCTCACATTGTTTGTTATATTGTTGAGGTAGAACTCAACTGAGGTGCATGAATTGGTTGTAAAAGAAAATAACTAAGAGCTTGTTTCATGCCACTGGTACTTAGGGCTACAGTGTCCAGAACATCATGATAACATGATTGTGTATGAGAGCATTCTCTTTTGTTACATTTTTTTTTAATAGTGCAAAATAGGTCTCTATTTAGAGTACTTATTTAAAATACACACAGTAGATGCTGGCCAGAGTGTCTGTGTAGTTTTCTTTCCTGAAGCATCTGGTTTTCTGCCTTTGTAGAAAGGCAAAGAGTTACATGAAATGTCTTTTTAATTGATGAAGCCTGTACAAGGATAGGATTATATCCTTCAGCTTGGGGCAGAAGTTCACCTTTCTGTTGATCTTCCTGGTAGTATTGCATTATTTCAGTCTTGCCTTTCTTCCCATTGGTTGATTCATGCTTTATCAGAAGCTGGTGGCAGAGGCAGAGCTTTTATTAACCAGACACCTAGACAGCCACACGTTAGACTTTAGATGAAACAAAACTGATTTGGCAAGAATATTCTTGCCAAAACCACACCTTGTCAGCCAAAGAAAAGGTTTTATTTAAGATACTTAATTGTAAAATAGATAGGAAAGAAGCAGTTTCTGTCTTGCTTTCTCCCATTCTGTTGTAGCCTCAGAGGAACCATCTTTAATGGCTTCTGTTTTTAGATACAACAGGATGAAATAAGTTCACTTAATGACGCATCTCTTGGATTAAATTATTTCTGCTTATTGTCTTCATAGCTGGTTTTTAGGTGGAGATGTAATGCCTTGCTGTTGTTTCCTTTTGTTTGGGGGGAAAAAAAAGATGGGTGGCTTAGGTTTAATAACTCCTGGGCAAATAATTCTCTTCTGCATAGATGCAGTCCCCTGTGTAAGTAGTTAGCACATTAAAGAAAGTGATCTGGGGTGCTGCCAGGGCCTCTAACTGGTTACTGCCAGATCTTCCAGCCACAGGCACCAGAGCGATCTATCTAAGGGTGAACATCTGGCCTCTTGGCTCCTCTGTGTGTCAGTACCCAGAAGCTCCCTTTATCACCCAGGGAATTTACCAACGTGCAGATTCCTGAGCCTTCCCCCTCACGGTTCTGATTCCGTGTAGAGAATTCCACCCCTTTGCTTCTCTGAACCATATGCCTAAGATTACTATGGATGAATCCTAGAGATCTACAGTTTTGTTTTTTAAACCAGTTTCCTGTGTTTTCAATTGGTTCCCAGATCGTACTTGGAGAAACACTGTATTTCAGTAACCTCTTCATAGACAGGGACTCTTGTCTCCCTCTTGGACTTCATTACTTCATATTTCTAGAACTTCACATTTTGGCACTTTCCAACAGTTTCAATTTTCGTTAGGTATGCTGATTTAATTTGAACTCCTTATGGATCAGCGGCCCATTAAAACTGTTCAAAATGTAAAGCAATGCTGCAGAATCAAAGTCTTCCCTTCTTGGCGTCGCCTTTTATTCAGTGTCGGCCCCTGCAAGTGACGTGTTCATCCATGTCTTGTGTTGTGTTTCCTTTTGGAAATAGTCCCTGTGCACGAGTAAGCACAGTGAAGTGCTTTTTGCTTTTCCTTCCTTTCTTTCTTTCTTTTTGAAAAAAATTATTCTTTGTGTCTTTCACATCAGGCATCCCTGATCCCACCCATATCCCATCCCCTCTTTATCCGTACATGTTTACATGCAGGTGCTCATCACAGTCATTGGTTTGGTTTGAGGCCTCTGGTCTCTGCTGCACTATCAACACTGGGCTCTCACTGGGACTGCTCCTGGACATCCTGTTGCTGCCCTGTGTCGTGGGGATCCTGTAGTCCTGGGTCTGCAGGACTTCCCCCTCCCCCCACACACACCATGTTCCAGCAGGTCACAGTTGGGGTGGGCCAACACTTAACCCTGGTTCTGGGCCTGGGTAGTTGCAGGGTTGGTCAGCTGGCCAGCTCCCCCACCCCCATCCCCAGGCTGAGCTCTCCAGCATTGCCATGGCTAGTTTACCCCTTGCAGCCATGAGCAAGGGATGGGGCCAGTTCTTCCGCTTTCACTCCCACACCTATACCTTCAGGGCCAGCTCTACTGTGTTGTCCAGTCTAGGTGTAGGGGCCACTTTCCCAAGGGGGAGTGTCAGCTCCCGTGCCCACCACCCACCACAGGTGGCAGGGGCAGGGGGGAGTTGCTT